AGCATCATCAGACCAACCCTTATCAAACTACCAGAGAACAATCGACCCAGAGCCACATCCTCTCAGTAATCCCTTCGTCCTCTACCTCTCTGGGGGAGCCCCATCACCCGGGCATGCCTGTTACTCAACTTCTACGGCTATCCCCTGGACGGACTAGTCGTGGGGGGCCTCCTTTCCTCTTGACTTTCCACACTCCCTACGCCACTGAGTGATCTGGTGCTTCTTTTCGTTGCATTCAGTAGTCGACCTCGATCTGCCGCAAAATATACCCCACCGGTCGCGGGTTCCGCGGTCTGGAGCCTAGTCTTGGGGTCGTCCTTGAGATGCGGCGGCTGAAGAAAACCCTATATATACCATACAAACCCGCCATAGCTAAGACACCCCCTACGACTCCCCCAATTATACTACTTATGCCTATAGGCCCCTTCTCACCGTCAGCTTCGGACTCTAAGATTTGTTCGGTTTCCATACCCGAAGATTCGACTGGTTCTTGGGGGCCCGTATCTAATTCTGAGTCACCGGAGATACGGTTACTGACCTTCTTTGATGACGCTGCCTGAGGCTGTTCTGACCGGTGGGATGTGGGCTCCGTCTGTGTCTCACTCTGACGACCAGAGAGATCCCCAACCTCGATGGCTGAGACTTCTGCTTCTGATGCTACAGTCTGGGCGCCGTCAGGTCCAGGGTGTTTCGGGGCGGGAGGTGACTTCTGTCCACTTCCTGAGGGGGTGTCACCCTTGGCCTCCAGTTTCTTAGCCAGCTCCGACTCTTTAACCGTGCATGGATCTCTCCCTTGAATCATCCCTCCTGTGCAGTTGTTCCTTGCGTTTACCCATTCTTGTTGAAATTTGGTCCCCTGTAAGGCCTTCTGTCTCCTCATCTGCAAGTCAGCCTCATCTTGTTTGGAGGTTTTGATCAGGATTTGATTTCTCTTGACTTCTTCCGGCTTGTTTGGTTCAACCATAGATTTCATGTGTTTCCTCCATAGATTTAAATACCCGCCAACCCCCCCTGATGCTTCTGCTTCGCATCTTAACTGCCCTTGTTCCAGAAGACATGGACCTATGTCGTTCCCTGGTGCCCCTGCTCTTCTTATTAGTCCTGTCAAACTATAATAACGCTTATATTCACAACACTTGGTGAGCCCAGAATATATACTCAACAGAAATCCGAGTTTACTCCCCTGATCTTCGCTTCCAAGGTCATCCTTTGTCATGAGGTCCAGGAGTTGCTTGCTATTAGTTATACCTTCTCGTTGGGGGCGAGATTTTTCATCCGGGAGGGTGATAGCCAGCATCTCCCATATTTTCCTACATGGAGTCGTTATTTCTGTGGAAGGGGCCTGGTCTGTTATTTGCCACCCTATCAAAGCTCTCAGAATACATAGCAATGCAACCAACATGCTTTGGCCTGGCCCAGATTTACTCCAATCATCGGATACTCCTTGTGATAAGGTCTTGTTCCAGTCTCTCTCTCTCCAGACCAGTCGGTTCCCTGTTTGCTCCTTAACCATTATTTCGCCGACTTTCATAGCTTCATACATCACACATGATAGTATTGCTTTCCAGTTCTCCTGATCTTCGGTTGGGTGTAGTACCTCGCTGAGGAGTTTTGACTTTCCTCCAATCATCCTGGGCCATTCGTCTGCTGTTTGTTGATTCAGGATCCCCTTCCTCCATGTCCCTAAGAACCCTTCCAACGCCCCGTCTGGGGCAGGACGGGTACCTATACAATACTTATCCTCTCCCACTAAACAGCCTCCTTCTTCTTGATGACCGAGGGCTAGGGTCCATCTGGTCTTATCTCCTCTCAGCCTTAATCCTTCTGTGCTCATTGGGCCCTTCCTACTCTTCGGTCTCCAAAAAGCTCTTCTGATTTCTGTAGGTCCCTCTATTGTTGGACGCTTTCCTCTTTTTACCTGTTTCGCCGCCAGAACTGCTCCTACACGCTTGTCTCAGATGGTCTCGCTGAGATCGGTGAACCGAGACTGTGTCTCCTTCGATTCCGACGTCTCGTTGTTTTATTTTTCTGATTTCCTGCGTCCTCGGCTTCCTTTGGACTTTACCCTTAATTATTCCCTCGTCATCGAAATTCTACAATAGATTTCTGTTTTCTCGTCCTCACCTGTCACGTCCGGCCTCTACAGATTGGCACCCCGTCGACTTTCATATATTCCCCCCATTCCACCACGCTAGGGAGATCCCCCCCGCGGTCGCTTGTCCCTCTTCGGGTAGGCCTCTCCTCCATCCCATCCTCTTCGTCCTGATTGCTTCGCCTGGTCACTTCAGATCGCTTCAGCTCATTTGCCTGAACTCATCCCTATCTTGCCTCAAGTTTCGCCTTGCAGAGGGGGTTCACCTGGTTTGGGTGTATCTGGTCTGGCGTCGAAAATTCGATATCCCTAGTACGGATCCGATGGTCTCGGTGATGTTGCTCCAGAGAGTCAGATACATGAGATAATTCCTCTGCTATCTCCTCCTTGGTCTCTATTCCTTCATATTTTTTCGTACGGACTATCTCTAATCGAACTGACCCGCCAGGAGTCTCGTGGGGTGTAGGTTCCTGATTCCTATGTTCTTCTTCCTGCCCCCAATTTCCACATGGACGATTAATGCACCACGAATTCTCCTCCTGAAGACTGGCCTGTCAGGCAGCTGTCCTTTCTTCTGCTCCCTGATGTTCCTATCTCAGGAGGGGAGATTCTCACCTTGTTCTCTGTCCATAAGATTGCTCTATAGTAGACTAGACGCCTTAGGCTCGAGGTTACTGCATGGGGGGACTTCTGTCTTCTGATTCTTGGGTTTTATCCAGTTGGCAGAGCTCCTGTCGGATACCTCTGTTTGAGGACTCAGTTGGCCTGTCGTTGCCTTTCCAGAAATTGTTTCCCGTAACCATTGGACTTAGGCGAGCCTTTCTCCCAGCTTGTGCCTCTGTGCCGGGGACTTATTCTTGATCACTTCTCTCTATTTCAATGGCAGGAGCTGTGTTTTGCAGGGGGGGGGATTGTTTCCTCCAGAGTTGGTTTTTTTTTTTTTGTCCTTCATCTTGGGGGATTTCTCCTTCGGAAGATTCTGTTGGTCCCGTTCTCTTCTTTCACCAGAGGGCGTGGCTCTCCCTCTTCTACGACTCCGCTGCTTCCGGGTCTCTTCTGAATCCTAAGCTCCCCCCCACTGAGGGGAGCCCAATTACTCCCTGCGCAGGTGCTCCTAAGTATTCTCCCTCTGTATCCCCGTAGTGACTGGCCCTGATCTTCCCTTAGCCTCCCTGCTGTTGTGGTACCCTTGTCTGCGGAACGAGATGTCCGGAGAGTGATCCTCCTTAATGTACCCTGACCGCTCATACTCTTCGAGAGGTTGGTACTAATTCCTGTTTGTCATTATCCACACCTTAGTCGAACATTAATCCCTTCATTTATTCAACGCTCCTTCCCGTTCCCCTATCCTAGGTTCTGGCTCTCACCTGAGTCTCCCTTCGAAGATTTTATTGTACCTCTGCTTGCATCCTCTCTCTTGCCTTATTCTGGTGTTGGCTGTGTAGCAGCCACTGGTCCAGATGTTTTCATCTCTTGCTCCCTTTTCGTCCCTGGGGCCTCAGTTGGTCTTGGTACTTGTCCTCTGCGTTATTCGTCGTTTAGGGGCCGCTTGGGTATGGAAATCTTCCTTCCCTTATCCCTGCCCTGTTACTCGAATTGGGACGTGCCAACTACTAATTTCCTGAAACATTTGCTTAACCTCTCACTCACTCCACCTCCAGCCTACGCCATACATACTTGATGAGCCGTGAATCATGGGTTTCTCGGGTTCATTCTCTCTCAGGAGGCTCCAGTTGAGCCCCTGGGAGTTGTATCCATCATCCAGTATCTAACCCCGGTTCAGACTCTACTTTTCATTTGATCCTTGATTTGAATTGTCGGACATTGCAGTACGTTTCGGGAGCTGTCGTGTTCATTTATCTTCCTCCTACATAGTTGCCTTAATTTAGACCTCTCCAGTGTCTGGCCTTTCCTCCGTGAGTCCTGCTGATCCTGATAAACTTCTTCCAATATCTGACTCCAGTGTAACTATGGATTCTTTTCATACTCCCCTTGACCTAGTCATCCTTGTTGACCTAGCGTTGGTAGGATATCTTCCGTCTGCTGGTTATGGTCCGCCCCGTTGGGCCCCTGTGGAGTCTAATCGGGAGTTGATCCTTTGGACTGTTTAGCCTCAGCCCCGTACATAGTTTTCCTCTTGGCTGTCTGGACCTACTAGACTATTACTTCTTCGTGAGCTTCTTGGCTTTTGTGGGTTAATTCTTGAGAATTTTGCCTTTTGCGATTCTTGGTTGGGCCTCAGTTGCCTCTCTATTCTGACGAGGCTTTAATGGGCCGGTTTCGGAGATTTCAGACGAATCTTCATATTCTTAACCTACTCAAAGTCTTCTTGTCCTCTTTTGGTTCGGTTAAGTTGAGCCTGCTTCGGTGTCTCGACTGGTCATGGGTTCCTTTAAAGGGACCTTCCTGATCTCATCTGTCCGTTTGGTTGGTTGGCCGCCCTTGACTTTCTTCGCTTCCACCCTCCTGTTCGGTATTTGGACGTTCTGAGAAGGTCCCCCGCGCAGTTAACTTGTTCGGTGATGCCTCTTCCATCCATCCAGTCATTGCTGGGAGATTCTATACTGACGATCTTTGTGGAAGATAGTTCAGCTCGTTGCTTAGTCCTGCCCAGGAGGTTATTTTTCTGCTTTGGGTTAGTCCGCTCCTAGTAGATACTGCTGCTAACCATAAATATCCTGCTTAACCTGTGTTGGCTCTTCTTCCTCTTATCAGTTGGTATTTTGGGCTTCGTTAAATTGGATCACTTATTTCTCAGATTGTACTCCCCACATCCTTCCTTCCGTGTAGTTTTGTGAAGGTAGGGATTATCCTTGGTGCTGCCCTGATTGGCTCTGGGCGGCTTATTATCCTTCGTCGTCAATATTTACTTCGGCTTCTTCTCTCCCTTAAGGGGGTTGGATGTGTCGTGTCTTGGTTGGAATCGAGACCATCCTCTCGGACTTGGATGCTGTTCTGCTTTTGTCGGTAAGTTGGTCCTTCCTTTTGTTCCTACTTGTTATTTCCATCCTCTTTTGCTAAGCTTTTTGACGCTGTGTACTCTCTGCCTTGGTTGGGGCGTCTCTGTCTTGGTGGTTTCGTGGTTCTTCCTTGATTTTAGGTGTTTGGTCTGTGCTCATTACCTGATTGTCTTTTTCTTCTGAATTCTCCTGATTCGTTATTAAACGAAGTTCCCCGGGTGTCTGACCAGAATCGGTTGGCAATTCGGGATCCTTTCAGCTGTTCTACGCTTACCAAATTCGTGGGGGAGCTTGTTCCCTGAGCGCCTGGTCCTGTATCTCTTGCTTTGCCTCCTTTTTTGCCTTTGGTTTCCCTTCTTTCTTACTATGCCGCCGGCTGATTTTTTTAGTTCTACTTTTGTTGGTCGATGGATTCTTGAGTGAGATGAACTACTTCTCTGTATATCTTCTTATCTGGCAATTTGTCTCGCTTGAGATTCTGTTCCAGTAAAGTTATATCTCTTATTGGGGCCTGAAGCACTTCTGCCGGGGTGGGGGAACCCGAGACACGTATTTGACGCTGTCTATCTGCTTCGACTTGGACAGGCGATATTGTGCTTTGCCTTTTGGATTAGTTATGTCGGCGCCTTAGTCATCCTCGGGTGTTTTCGTCGGAACCCCTATTCTAACTTGGCCTGATGTTTGGGGGTAGCGACTTCTTATGGAATCTCAACCTTTCACCTTCCTTTGGATTGGAGTCTATAGGATGAGATTGAATTGCCCGGAATGTCTTCGGGTGACTTTGAGATATTTATCTTGTTCTGGCACTGGGGCTTCTAGGCCCTTTTGTGTAGGTTCGTTTGGGATTCTCTCCTCTCATTTTGGGCCCTAGATTCTCTTCAGTCTACTGTGGAGAATTTAGACGAGCTTATTGCTGCGGATAATGCCTCCACATTATGCATGAGTCGTCAGCTATTATGATATGATCTGTAACTTCGGTAGTGAGGCTTTGCTTTTTATGTATTAGACTCGTCCCTTAGCTCCCTTGTGCTCCTTCTCATCTTGTTGTGATGGCTCCCTTGGTGTTGATCGATTTTTTCTTAGGTAGCATCCCAAGCGTGGGCTTAGTTGGCTTGCATTGAATTAACTTATTGGATACCTTTACTCATATGACTTGGCGATAAAGGGTTCGCTTTAAACTCTTATCTATCGAAGTGATTTTTGTTTAGTTCCTCTGTTGTCATCTGTGGGTTATATATATGGCAATGGACCCTTAGGTCTCTTGGGATTAAATAGTGGGTGTCTTCTGTTGTGGATGCAGTAGGAAGACTTAGTTTATATTCTTAGTTGTTAGGCCCCTTCTTATTAGTTCTTCTTCCGTCGAACTGTCTTAAGGTCCTCATATTCAGGTAGTGTTTGGTCGCCTAGGGGGTCTGAAACCAGTCATATCCGTGGCCCTGTTGACTCTTTTCCTTATGCTCCATGGGCTCCAGATCTTCATTCCCTTATCATTTTGTCCTTGTCTATACAAATTAAACATTTTTTCCATCTGTCCATCTATGTGATAGGACAGATTAATATCTTTTCAGGATGTGTTGATTTACAAGATAAGGCGCTTCTAGTTGGGGGTTCACTCTTGTGTTTCCTTCAATAGAGATCTTAAGTAATTTTCTAATTGCAGCTGATTATCAGATCTACCTGAGGAACTCATATAGACGACTCGTTATATAGTGGCCGTTATTACGAGTGGAAAATGAGAGTTAAGGACTAAATATTCTTTCTATATTTCTTCTTATAATCTAT